CAAGGGCCACTTCATTGCGGCGGCCAGGTGAAGACTCAAAGGCTGTGACTGGAATAGGAAATTGAGCCGATCCGATCATATAATCTATCAGCTCCGCTCGAAAGATTACAGTGCACGCCGAGCGGCATGATCCTGTTGCCAGTTTTTAAACATTTCTGGCTTTTGGCAGGCGTCGAAAACCAGGGCCATATCATTCAAGTTGGTTGGTATGTATTTCTGAAGTCAGTCTGAAAACATAGGCGTGGGTCGCCACTTCCCCATCGCCGGCGGGCCAATCGTACCTAGGCCTGTGACTTGCAGGACCTAATCGGACTGTTGCTCAACGCTCGCTGGCTGCCCGATTAGTACGTGTGCAGTTCACATTAACGCCCTCCGATCTTTGGAGATTCCGTAAAATCTTCTCGTCAGTCGTTGTCGAGATTTCTCGACGGGCAGATCTACTTGCAGTGACGACATCAGCTCTGTTCCCAAGAACAACTCTCATGTGGACGTCCAGCGCCTCCGTTGGTCGGCTTCATCAGTTCAACATCTAGAATGCAAGTTCTTATTTCCCGGCCTATATAACTTAATTTGTTGACGGAGCACGGGATATGTATAGCTTGACCCTCCCGGCGAAGTGAAACACCGGTACCAAATTCATTACGGATCTTTGCACCCTGACTTGGACCGGTGGACACCCTTCATGATGCATAGATGTTGTACGTTGAACGATCGTGAATGATCACAACTGCCTGTAGGCTTGTGACGACCAGCGGCGGCATTATACAAGATTAGAGGTTATCGGCCTCATGTCCTATTCGAATTTCAACTTCACGACGCGCTGTTGTGAGCAAGTGAAAGGAAGGATAATCGAGGAAGGTGAGTACACTAATCGGGAAACCTGGAGTCCTAATGACGTCCACGCCGATCTGGGACTTGACTACAGTAAGACTTGTTTGACAGGCATCTCGTCACCTGTGTGGGGATGTCAATTTGACGGAAGCGAATATGCACGGTGGGGCGCCGCCTCATTTCATTCAGTCCGCTGCTGGACAGGACAAATGGACACGACAACTACTTAAATACTGGCAAGGGCTCGTGTGCTCGTATCTTCGGACGTACCCACCCCACATTCATCCACCTTCATTCCTGCCAAGACACATAATGCTCTATAAGATTGTCAACGCCAAGTTCAATGATAGGGTGCTAGCCGTCTCAAATCACGACCACGAAACCGGTTCGTACGTTCAAATCAGGGTTTACTGCTCTCCTGTCATGACCGTCTCTATAGTCCTCGGATTTCAGCATACTGGCCAAAGTAACCAGCTAGTGTGTAGCTATATTTGCAACAATCTTACGACTCTTCCTGACATTTATCCCTCGACATGACAGTGGTCTATCTGCGATTATAACGGCCTCAGTGTCATTAAGAATGTCGGGGCCGGCTCACCTCTATACCTGGGCGAGCGGAATGGGAGGATTATTGGCGTTGGAAGCAAAGCGGAGGACCAGGCACCGCGTTGGGACGTTTGGCCAGTTGGCCGTTTTTCCAGGTTCGTCCTTCGTTTCAAGTCGACATTGATACATGACTGACGAAATGTGCAGGATTCTCCTCGGGAACTTGTTCCTCGAGATTAAGCGGAGAGATGTAGCCAGGCATGTCAAGGAAGTGGGATTTGCGCCTGGGGAATACGATGATGAAGCGCAGCTTTGGGAACTTGTACCAGGTTCGTGTTCTTCTCGTTCGGAGATGCCCAAACTTCTTAACTGAATTGCCTTCCATATAGTACGAGACAGTTGAACTCTATACCTGTCACGGGCTTTGAGTGTACTATAGTTTATTATTGTCGTATGAATCGGAGAGATGTCTAATGTTTGTATAATATGTACTACTTTGTATGTTGTTCGATCTGTTTTCAATTTGCCCTGCGAATACAGCTCTTGTAAATTCTACGATTAGTTGGTTATCACGTCAAAATGCTTTAAAGGTCATATTGCTATCGCTCATGCTAGGTAAAAATGTACACCGCTTTCTTGACCAAGGTATATACATAAAATAAAACATATCAGTTTTTCTTCAGCGCAGCCTGGAACTCAGCCGGGACACTGGCTAAGAAATCCTTGGTCGTGTACTTCGGCCTCCATCCAATGGAGCGCGACCGGTGGGCAACAGCGCGTGAGTTCGATCCAAGTGCCACGTCGGCAAAGTCCGCGCCGAAGTACTTGTCGATTTCCTCTCGGGTGAACGGAGTGGGCTCATGGCTCTTGGCGCTCCCGAGCGCCACAAGCTCGTCCGCGATGGCTTTGCCCACCTCGTACAGGGTGTGCGAGCCGTTCTCCCCGAAGTAGTACCCTTCACGGCCGTGGCCTGTCCCTGCGGGGTTGGTCTTGATTGATTCGTACAGGAGGTTATAGAGGTCCGCCACTGTGGTTTCGTGTGAGTCAAGTCGGCACTCATCAAAGAGGTGTTGCTTACAATCATCGATGTGGACATCGTTCCAAATATTCTTGCCTGCGCCGACTGTGCCGGCCTGCCCGCGGTCAAGCGCCGCATCGATGAGAAGGGGAAGCTGGGTGGAACGTGGGTTTGAAATGCCAAGTTCAACGAGGTTGTGCGTTGCAATGCCATAGATGTTCGACGGAAGGATGATGTAGCTCTTCACGTATCCTGTATTATCGTGAGCCATCGCGATGAGAAAAGGTGGCGCGGCTGCAGACCTTTGGCGTCCGCCGCATCAAGCTCTACATCGACCCAACGATGTTGTTGGGTGACGGGGAGCGTCGCAATTTGGTCTGAATTGGCATCGTCGTAGATCGTGTCGTACGTATATTCGCCAGCGGCCTTGTCGGCGAGGACACCTGTCCCTGAAGTTTGGATGAGAATAGGGGCGTTGCCGGTGGTTTTGTAGCGTTTCTCAAAGCCTCGAAGAATGGCCTGAATTGCTGGAAGATAGTCGGAGTCTGCCTGCATATAACTCGTTAAACTTCATCATGTGTGGGGCGTAACTCAACTAACCGTAGACACGGCGACATCAGCTTCGGACGCGAGTCTCTCGACCAGCTCAGCGTCCGTGTGCGAGCCAATTACGGCCTTCAGACCAAGGGTCGCGAGTTTTGCGGCCTTTTCGGGCGAACGAACGAGGAGTGTGAAGTTGAGGCTAGCGGCATCTGGGCGTTGGAGGAAACGAGCCAGAACGGAGCCACCAATGTACCCCGTGGCTCCTGTGAGGAAGATATTAGTAGACATGTCTAGTACAGGTAGAAGTGGGCGTAGTTTGGTGTTCTGAGTGTTATCCAGCAGTCGTATTTAATGCAGGCGGTTCGCGAAGAAGTCGCATCCTTTGTGAGCTTCACAGATGACCAAGAAGCAAATTTCAATGATGATTCATACATACATATGTTACAGAGCACAAGTTGCGGCAGAAGTTTCGTCCAGGAGGATTAAGAGGATTAATCATCCGAGCGCTGATTCAGCCAGGTACTTGCAACGAGGCATGGAAATCGCGCCATACCCGCGAAGAGAAGCTACTGAGAAGCTGGAGATACCATGTGATGCAAAGAACAGGACTAAGTTTAACGCGTTAAACGTTAACGACTGGGATCGGTTCGGGAAACCGGGCCTTTTCTGCTGAGCAGTATCATTGTGGGCCGTGTGAACCAGAACCAGGACGTTTTGACAACCACTGCACCGAAATTGAAGCCAATATTACGTTCCGTTCCGAGGTCCGGATTGTTCTTTCGTTCGAGAAAACTGTACACTAGCTGTACAGCACAGTCCACTGTGAGGGGCCAGGGCCAACAGAGCGGACTTGCCCGATAAGGGTCGATCTCATGTGAGTTCGACCTCCGAGTCCGGACTCCGAACGTCTTGCCACCATGTCCACACCCGCACGCCCTGTTGTTTTCATGGACATCAACATCGGAGAGACACCTGCTGGTCGGCTGAAGATGGAACTCCACAGTGATATTGTCCCAAAGTGCGTTGTGCGGCCCTCAAGCGATCCGACTTGATTCAGGCTGATGTTTTCTCCTTGACCCAGGACCGCAGAGAACTTCAGGCAATTGTGCACGGGAGAGTACAGGTTCGTTGGCACCTTTCATGCCCTCTGAACCCTGGAACTAATGTGCAGTTAACTGCAGAGTCAATTCGCGACCACAAGGGTACAAGAATGCAACTTTCCACCGGTATGTTGCAAATACATCAAGCGATATCTTATGCTCTGACTGACTGATAGAGTAGGGTGTAAGCCGAAGTCATATTCCAGGATTGCCTATTGGCTAATTTGAGGCGTAGAGTGCCAAATTTCATGTGTCAGGGTGGAGATTTCTTGAAGGGTGATGGAACTGGGTCGTTCTCTATTTATGGAGATAAATTTCCGGTGCGCATCGTCCAGCTACTCTCAGAATCTTTCTTTACCATTGTACAACCTAGGATGAGAACTTCAAGGAGAAGCACGTTGGACCCGGGCTGCTATCAATGGTATGGTATTTCCTATACCTTCGATGCTTGTCTGAACATCTATAGGCGAATTCTGGCCCAAACACCAACGGCTGCCAGTTCTTCATTACGACTGCAAAGTGTGACTTTCTTGATGGCAAGCATGTCGTCTTTGGTCATGTAATCGACGGCATGCTCACTCTCAGGAAAATCGAGAACGTGGCCACTGGCCCAAACAATCGACCCAAGCTTGTCGTCAAAATTACTGGTGAGCCGGTTTCATTATCATTGCTGCTTACGACAAGTTCAACGCGACCTTTCACAGAATGTGGTGAAATGTAGCAATAGCATATCGCGACACAGGTGCTCGAATGTCCCGATCCTGTGATTGTAATATTATTGGCATGCCTTTTTTGTCATTTATTCCATTCAATTCAGGGAGAAAAAATACTTTTAACCTTGAACTGGAAAAAGATACTTCTTTTGTGATGCGACCAATGTGTAAATCGATGAGAGCGTACCTGGGAGTGTAAGTACAACAATTCAAGTGTTGACTTTGGGATACGAAATCGCAAAAAAACTTCTCTCTGCCTGGGAGTCGAACCCAGCTTTCGCGCGATCATTTTACAATGAAGCCATCAATGACAGGCGCGTGTACTAACCGATATACTAGCAAAGACATATTACCTGCTCTCTGTGAGTAATTATCATTGATTACCACAGGCCTGGGGACCAGCTGTTAGCAAGGTTCCTTGGTTTTATGTTTCTGTTGATCGGCTTTTTGAAGTTTGCATTAGATTTTGGAAGAGATTATATGTGGGGCAGCCTCTGATTCATACAGCTCAAGGTTGGCATCATCTTGTTCAAAACTGAAAGTTATACATATCTGCTGCGCCACATATTACCAGGGGGTCAGGCATAATCCATACTTTAGGTGGGGTATATATAGCTTTTCCTTAGGCTAAATCACAGGTCAGATCGACAATCATTTCAATAGAACTATCATGTGGCACACTCGGTTTCAATAAAGTCCTGTGTCCTCTTGCCAAACTTGCCTCTCTAACCTCGCAATTCCTTCATCATCCTTGCGCTCCTCAATTTTGAAGTGCTTCTCAAGGCATGCTTCGCATATAACCTCTGGTTTATGGTTTGATTTCACTGACGGATTAGTGATTGAGTCTGGGGTCTTGGCTTGCCGTACACGGTGGTCCTAAAAGTGTTCTCGCCGATCTTCTCTACCATACAGGCATGAAGGTCAAAAGAAGAAATCTATTTTCATATTAGTAAATATGTACAATGTTGACTATCGGGGAGGACCGATAATATCGATGGTCGCCGAGAAAAGGCAGAGATCAAAGACTCAAAGTTCACACTGCATTGCAAATCAGGAGATTGCGATGATCATCGGATTACGTGAGGGAGCGCTTAGTGGGCGCTAACTTTGGAGGCCATGCCATTACTCATGGAATCGTGGCATCTCACGGACATGCCATGTGCAAGCCATGTGGCATGTGGCCATGGTACCCACACATGGCATTGCCAATATTCTCGACGTGTTCTGGGTTCTTCGGACATTCTATCAGAAAATCACTTTCAGCAACTATATCTTCTGTATACATGCCAGTGGGCTCCCTGAAACTGAAGCAAAACCTTGACAACTTTGACAAGTCAGATGGGCCTCAATTCAGTAATCAGGCATTCGATTTGTAGCAATGACATGTGCAGCCGTACATGGATGGCTTGCTTTCAATATATAGCATGCGGCATTTCTTTTTAAAAGTCATTCATTATCATAATTTGGGTGGTCGGGGACTTTGGCGCTTGGCGCCGGCCCGCCGCTACGATTCAATTTCCGCAAAATGTATGGCTGCTCGTTGGTTCCCTTCTTCAAAACATGGCAACACTCTTCTGTTCTTTTCTCCAAGCTTTCTCGTGGTTCTCACTGTTTCAAATCAGAAAATCAGGCATTCGGCATCATTTAACGAAGGGCGTGTAAACTTTCTCTTCTCGTCTTCTCGATGCTCGCAGGACCAGAATAGTGTGGGTCAATGGTGGACTTCGGAAGACATGTCGAGCAAACATGAAATGTGGGTATTTCGTTTCTGGATTATTGATTATTCAGGTCGTCTACTCTAGTGGAAAGATATTTTACGCCATCAAAGTACCCTCACTGCTAAAAGCGAGCTCGCAAAGCCGTTAACATGAAAATGCATACGAAGCTTATCCTGTGTTCGTCACACGCTGTGCCCGCACAATGATCGGCCATGTCCCATGCTCCCCACTTCTCCAGATACCAGTTCATTCCTACCATGGCCTTTTATCATTTGACCTATTCGGTTGTCTTTCCAGGACTCTTCTTCTCGCACCAGAGCGCCACTGAGAGGTTGCACCTGGATATCTCTACCTCAATGGAGACAGTTCGATTCTATGGTTTCCTCTTTTTTCCTTAGTACGAGTGTCATCTGACGCTCAGTTTTCCCGTTCAACTCAAACTTTCCCGTGCTCAGAATATAAAAATGCGAGGACATCACTTCCCATTTCACAATCGAAGATTTTCTTCTGTCCTTCTTGTGCATAACATCTAATATCAACTGAGAATGGGCCACCCTGAGGAAGTCGACATTATTGTCGCTGGAGGAGGACCAGCTGGTAAGAGCTTCGGAGCTCGTGATTGTAGTCCTCATTTACACGATCCTCTAGGATGTGTTGTCGCCGGGAGGCTAGCATACGCGGACCCCAACCTGAAGGTCATGCTCATTGAGGGTGGCGCCAACAACCGCGACGACCCCTGGGTCTACAGGTGATTTAACGTGTATCTCATCAACTCTATCCGTACAGCTGACCACTACATTGTACAGGCCCGGTATCTATGTCAAGAATATGCAACGTGACGGAATGTAATATATTCTCCCAGTTGTTGAATTAATTCGCTCACGAACCCGGATAGAAACGACAAAGCAACCTTTTATACTGATACTCAAGATTCTCCTCATTTGCGCGGACGACGAAGCATTGTCCCGTAAGCGCCATAAATCTTAAAATTTCAAGCGTTAACTAAATTGGACGCGCAGTTGTGCCAATATTCTGGGTATGTACTCAAAACAGTACATTTGTCGACCTTTTGATCACATTGCAACATTTTGAAGGCGGCGGAAGCAGGTGTGTGGTCCTCAGATCGGGTTTCAGGCTTTCTCATTAAGCGGAATATCCAGTATCAATTTCCAGGTTTGATTCTGTACTCCTATTCCATGAAATTTCATATATCGGCTTCCAGATGTATACCAGAGTGAGTCATACCTCGTTCAACTTCTCTAGCACCGATCTCACGAGTAAAATCAGGCTTCTGCTTCAGACTGGGGTATGTCGCCACGATTATAATGGGCCCAGTGTACTTATCAACGCTGCTCAGACGACTTTAAGACACCTGGATGGCAGGCCAAGGATCTGCTTCCGCTCATGAAACGTGTTCGTCACTTCAGTACTGTGCTTGAAGGTTAAATATCTTACGTGCGCTACATAGCTCGAGAACTATCAGAAGCCAACCAACAACAACACGCATGGATACGATGGCCCCATCGCCATCAGCAATGGCGGCACAATCACCGCCCTTGCACAAGACTTCTTGCGAGCATCTGACACGATCGGCGTCCCCTTCAGCGGTACGTTGCCTATCAATTGACAGACGAGAATGAGGAACCTTACACGATGTCTTCGTTTGTAGATGACCTCCAAGGAAAGCCCTGAACTGCCCTCTAACGCGGTACTCTAGCCTTACATTCAGCGACATGTAGATCTTGACACGGCTCATGCATCTGAGATATGGGCGAAGTACATCAACAGGCACACAGGCAGGCGCAGTGATGCTGCGACTGGTACTTCCGTTTTCTCGGACTTCGATATGCTATATTCTTATTTTCCACACAGCCTACGTCCACAGTGTGATGGATGTTCAGACAAACCTCTTTCTGCGCACCAATGCTCGTGTCTCTCGTGTCATCTTCGAGGGCAACAAAGCTGTCGGCGTCGCCTACGTTTCTTCTCGCAATCGCGTGCACGGCGCTCAGGTCAAAGAGACGATCGTGCGCGCGCGTAAGTGTGTCGTGTTGAGCAGCGGCACTCTCGGAACGCCTCAGATATTGGAACGCTCTGGTGTAGGATCCGGCAGTCTCTTGCAGTCTTTGGACATCAAAGTCGTCAGCGACCTCCCAGGAGTGGGGTAAGTGCTGTTCGTTGTATCGATTGAAACTAATACTAAATTATCGCGACAGAGAGCAATATCAAGATCATTACACCACACTCTCCAGTGAGTACTAAATTCAACCGCCCACAAGAATAATATGTTGACAAACCCAAAGTCTACAGAGTGTCCAACGAATCTCACACAGTGGACGACTTCCTTCGAGGTGACAAGGAGGCACAGAAAGAAGTACAGTCCTCTTATTATACTCGCCGACCTCGGGTAGCTTGACTTACTACGCTGTTATTGTAGCTCTTCGCTGAATGGGAGACTAGCCCCGAGAAGGCGAGGCTTTCCAGCAACGCGATCGATGCCGGATTCAAGGTTGGCGACATGCCAATAAGGTAGACTACAACTGATTCCACTTTCCCTTAGATTCGACCGACCGAAGAAGAACTCAAGGAACTGGGGCCCGAGTTTAACGAGCTTTGGAAGACCTACTTCAAGGATAAACCTGACAAACCTGTCATGTATGTTCAGCACTGATCAGTTGTCGGCTGCCGTTCTGATGTTCTGTGCAGGTTTGGATCGATTGTCTCTGGAGGTGACCACAGCCTGCAAAGCACAAGTAACTGTCACTGATATCACAATTAGCATACGCCGATCACTCTTTGCTGCCTCCTGGAAAGTACATAACCATGTAAGTCCTTGATATATCTGCGACCTTCCATTACCCTAAAATTGCCAATCATAGGTTCCAGTATCTGGCAAGTCATACTAATGAGCCTATAACCTTTGAATTAACAACGTTTGCCGCTCCCAGGAGTATCCCGCCAGTCGTGGAAAGGTCTGTATTCTGTCTCATTTTCATTTCCCTTGCTCAACGCAATCCAGATTCACATCTCATCGCCGAACCCGTACAAAGAACCGAACTTCGACAGTGGCTTCATGAACCATAAGGCTGACTTTGCACCCATCCGGTGGAGCTATAAGAAGACTCGCGAAGTTGCTCGCAGGATGGACGGTATGCAATCCCGTCTCAATCCTCCCGAATACCAGTTCATGACTTTCCAGCCTTCCGTGGCGAGCTCACTTCCCATCATCCGCGGTTCCACCCTGCATCCCCTGCAGCTGCACGTGATATTGACATCCAAACGGCAAAGCAGCTTCTCCCCGATGGGTTCACCGTTGGTATCCACATGGGTACGCCATGCATGAGCTCCTTGATCGTACGCCCCTCTGACCACTCCCGTACGGCAGGCACCTGGCACAAGTCACCGATATCCATTCGTCGTTCCTGCTCCTCTACTCACGATTAAACTTTTGACAGGCCCGGAGACAGATACGATGCTGCGAAGGTGCACGAGGACATCAAGTACTCTGCTGACGACGACAAGGCCATCGATGATTGGATTTCTGGTGTGTCATGATCTAATTGCCTTGTAGGACTCGATTCTTAGATTAATTCCCAGACCACGTCGAGACCACCTGGCACTCGCTCG